GGCGGCCCGCGGGTGGGCGAGGGCTCGGCTGGAGGGAGGCCTCCGACGCTGCACGACCTGCCGCTCTGCCCCGGCCTTCCGCCCGGGCAGTCGCCCTGGAACTGTGCGCTCTGAGACGTATCTTGATGGTCGCCGACTTCCCAGCATGGACGGTGGAAAAGTTGGTTCGGGCTGAACGAACTCCCTGAGAGCCGCGGCGGGGTCCGGCCAGCCCGCTTCCGGCGTCGAGGTGTCGTTGTAGCTCGTCACCCGAGCAGAGACTGTGAACATGCTGAGGAGAAAAGTGCCCCTCAGATGAGCGTGGTCGGCGACCAGTCTTTCCCGAAGGCGATGGCAGGGACCCAAACAAGCCGGGTTTGGTGGCTGGCTGCAAACTGAGGGCTGCCAGGCGGGATGGACCCCTGTGGAGACCCGGCAGTCGGCGGCGACTGTCCCCACCGCAGGGGACAGGAGGGTCCGCTGCTGGGCACTTTCATGGACAGCAGCCACAGGTGACGCCAGGAAGCCTTCCCTGGAGTTGGCTTACAACTTTTTTGTTATATTTTTGACCCCGGGGGCAGAGAGTGTTGGAGGAGGCAACACGACAGGGAACTTTTGGACGATTGAGTGAGAATCGATGGGAGGAGGGAGTTACTAGAGTAAATTACTGGAGTAGGAAAGAAGTAGCAAAATGGTTACAGAATTCGATGGAGTTAGGTAGGGCTGAAGGAAGGTTGGAAACTGTCAAGTGTCCCCTACCTGCAAGAGAAAGGGCATTAAACCTGTGTGAGTTGGTGCGTCCAAACACTCTAAAAAACAGATACTTCTGATTGTCCACCATCGCCATATCTTCTGTGTGTGTTTTTTCTATTCAGTGAACATGAAGACAGAAACAGAATATCTGAAGAACTTACAATGATTGTCCAAGAAATGAAAAAGTATTTTCCAGCCGAGAGACACACTAAACCCAGCACCCTAGATGCCCTTAACTATGCAGTACTCTGTGTGCATAGCGTGCAAGGTAAATGAGTTGCAGAGAATAGGGTGCTCTGGAGTTTTCCAGAGGCTTGAGCATCTCTGTGGCCAGGACAAGCGAGTCTGGTTATAAAGTGATGCTTTGGGCTTTCCAAAGCCGGGAGGATGGGATCTGTCCGATAGTTTACTAACTGCAGTCTCTGCAGATCTGTTGCAAGAGTAGAGTTTAGCAGTCAAACTAAGACTCCTTTTTCAAGGAGCATTGCCTTCCTTGAAGGTTCCAAGAGAAAAGACATGTGTGCTTTCCTGTCATGCACATGCCTTGGAAATGAGCAACCATAATATAAAAAATTGGCTAAATTAAAGGACAAGCATTTTTCCTTCCCCTCTGACTTTCCTTCTGGAGTAGTCCGTAAGTTGCTGTGTCTTTAGCACAAACCTCTTTGCTTCACTTGTGATAAATAGGTAGTTCGTGCATGCTAATGTTTCTCCCATAATGAAATGTGCGTGTATGGACTTTTAATTTCTTTAACTAGCTTTAGAACTGTAAATAAATTTTGTTCCTTGTAACCTAGAGCATGCAGAATTCATAAAATTCATAGTCTTAAGTTTGCATAACTGACCATATTTTTGATGCAAGCCAAACATGACCTAGTTTTGAGGGAAACAATTAAAGTAGCCATCTGAGAAAATAAGTCAGCTTGATAGTGCTAAGACATGACTTCCTAAAGATACTGCTTTCACTGGATTACCCATCTATCTCCCTGTGTTTCTTAGCAAACAGCAACTTTTCCTCAAATCTCAGTCCACACGGAGCACCTCAGACAGACGTGACTGTGCATGGTCTTGAGGAGCTGGCCGGTCTCACTTCTGAACATGCTTCCAAGAACACAGTAAGATTTCATGAGTTTTGCCCTCTCCGATGAATTAGGTGAATTCTCCTAAGGACCTTCTCTAGGTGTTAAAATAGTCATTGAAAGCATCTCTTGCTGAGGTAAACAAAGGTGAAGCTGCTGAGAAGGAGCTGTGTGGTGTCTCCGGCCCGGCAGAGTGTCTGAAGGTAGATAGCAGCTCGCGCTCTAGCGCAGCCTTGTGTGTGAGATGTCAGGTTCTTTCCTCCCGTCAGCATCCCGTGGTCTCTCTTATAAAAGGGAAAGAAGCAGCCAACCGAACATGGCAGAGTAATTTGCTGCATCTTATTCTAATTTACAAATTGTTACTTTCTATTCATATCATTCTTAGTTCCAATACCTACTCCCTCAAGTTGTAACAGCTGAATTGGGTAGAGCAGGTGAGTTGAGATGTCATTTTTATGGGGAAGTTTTGGAAGAGACCTTTAGTGTGTGTGTATACATCTCTTCTTATTGACAGTAATTAAGCCTCATATTTTATTGATGGTGGAGATGCCTTAATTTAATATTTAGACTTCAGCATCGCTTTAATTTAATGTTTTTATAGGTATTACAAGGAGTCGTGTAGTGTTTCATAAGAGAGCTTGTTCTACTAACGAGCATAGTGCTGTAGTAGGTGTTTAAAGAAACAGCTTCTGAGGAAACATTCACCATAAGTCTAGACAGGGAAACAGGTCCATGCGAGCAAGCACAGTGGCCGATTATCAATGAAGTCGGTGATGAATCGAACAGACCTGAGGCGCAATTCTTACGTAATGAGGTCTGTCGAGGGCAGCTTGTGAAGGAGGCAGATCTTGAGCTCGTCTGATCTTTATGCTGAGCTTTAAGCATAGAACCTGCATGACTGACAGGAAGACAGCCCCCTCCTAGGGGAGAGCTGTTAGCAGAAGAGAAAAGCCCATGTGCCGCATATCCATTAGTCTGCACAGGAGCTGGTGTGGGCTTTTGGCATAGAGATCAAACTTTCAGGAAGCCTGGTGTCATTTTTATAATGGCTCCTAAGAAGCATGTTGCAGAAAACTGTTTCGGAAGCTTTGTTCTTTACAAGGGGTGCGTGCATGCGTGCCTGTGGGCACACGTGTATTTTAAGCCTTAGATTGTGGTAGAAATTCAGAAGAAACTGACTTTTCTGAGAGTATTGTGTGTAAGTTTCTCAATTTTTGTCTGATCTGTTTTTCCCAGGATACCTTTGTGGCAGTGTTTTCCCTTCTGTCTGGACGGCTAGTGCACATTTCTGAGCAGGCTGCTTCGATCCTGAACTCTAAAAAAGATTTCTTGACGTCCTTGCGCTTTGTTGACCTGCTTGCCCCTCGAGACGTGAGGGTGTTCTACGCACATACTGTTCAGAGTCGGCTTCCTCTCTGGAGCAGCCGGACCCAAAGAGGTAATGAGACGAATGTTAGGGTGAGTATCTTGCTCCAGGATCTGGTCATGCTTACAGAAGTAGTACAGACATGAACATGGATTTACAGCATCCATATTGTTTTCCTTATTCTTTGTGCTTCATTTGTGTATTTACTTATTTTTCTTTTTGGTTTTTTTTTTTTTTGAGACAGTTTCCCTATGTAGCCAAGGCTGTTCTGGACCTCACTTTGTAGACTACACTGGCATCAAACTCAGGGATCTGCTGTTTCTGCATCTTTTTTTTAAAAAAAGATTTATTTATTATGTATACAACATTCTGCCTCCATGAATGACCACACGCCAGAGGAGGGCACCAAATCTCATTATAGATGGTTGTGAGCCACCATGTGGTTTGGGAATTAAACTCAGGACCTCTGGGAGAGCAGCCAGTGCTCTTAACCACTGAGCCATCGCTTCAGCCCCCTGTTTCTACATCTTTAGTGCTGGGATTAAAGGCATGCACCACAACAGGCTTTGTTCTCCTTTTTAAAAGGAACACAATAAAATGGTATTTTTGTCATTTAGTAACATAACAAACCAATACATTTCTTTTTACTTACTGAAATTTTGCAGATTTTATATGAAAAATAGCTTTGATTACCGGCATACTTCACAGCGGGTGATGCTGTACAGGCACTCTTCCCTTGAAATCCATACAACATGCTTCTTCCTATGCTGACTTCATGATCCCTTTGTGTAGCAGCTTTGACTTTATAGACAAGATGCTGATAGCCCCTACTCAGTTTTTCTGGCCCTAAAAGTTCATGGATCTCATAACTCTGTTTCCGTGTGAAATGCTTGTTTGTCTGAACCAGATATGCAGTCACAGGAAAGGGTTTATTTGGCTTACACGTCTCATCGTAGTCCCATCGTTTAGTGGAAATCAGAAAAGCAACTCAAACAGGACTGGAACCTGGAGGCAGAGACCACAAAGAGGGGAGCTGCGTGCTGTCGTGGTTCACATGAATTCCTCAGCTTGCTTTCTTATAGAAGCCAGGATCACTAGCCCAGGGATGGCATCAATCACCATGGGCTGGGCCCTCCCTCATTGATTGCTATTTGAGAAAATGTCTTACAGCAGGATCTCATGGCAGTATTTCCTCAGCTGAGGCTCCTTCCTCTCTAGTGACTCTAGCTTGTGTCAAGTTGACATACAAAACCAGCCAGTATATAGAGCCAAAAATAGCCTTAAACTGTAATCTGTCTACCTCTACCTCCTGAGCGATGGGATTGCAGTCATATACCACCAGACAAACTTATGCAGTACTGGGGATCAAACCTAAGGTTTCGTGCAGACTAGGCAAGCATCTCCTGGCTGAACTACATCCCGTTTATATGTGTATGAGTGGTTTTCCTGCTTGTCTGTCTGTGTACCACATGGGCTTCAGGCCTCATGGAAACCATAAAAGAGTGTTAGATTCCCTAGAACTGGAGTTCCAGACAGTTGTTAGCTGTCATCGTGTGAGTGCAGGGAATTGAGTCTGGGTCCTCTAGCAGATCAGCCAGTATCTTAACACTGAGCCATCCCCCTAGTGCCCCTTTTCTCTAATTTCCAAAAGAAAAAGTTCATTTTATAGTTCTGAAAAGTGGAAAACAAGTAAGCATGGTAGCTATGCCCAGCATTCTGGAGAATGAGGCAGGGTATGACTTCAAGGCCATCATGGTGAGAAACCCTAAGAAAGTGTAGCACAAGATTTGCTGTTTCCAATCATGTTTAAGTTCAGGGATTAATAGTATGAAATATGTTTACAGTCTAGTGAAACAGACTGCCACAACTTTCTTACCTTTCGACCTCCACTTTTCTGGTGTTTTAAATCAAGTGCTCTCTACCTTCCTCTAGCTCCATTATCTCTTTTCCCATCTTACAAATACTGCTATTGTTCATCTTCCTTTCCTAAATACACGTTTCAATGTTTGTTGTCTATGTTTGTTTTTCTGCTTTCATTAGTGACCCATTCTACGGAATTCAACACTTGGAGCCAGCGATCCGTTCTAGATTTGGCCAGAACTATTCTAGATGCTGGGTTGATAAACGTTGCCAGCTCTTTCTGGCTTTGTTTTTTGCTTTAATTTTTGTCTTTTGCTTTTTTTTTCCTTCAACAGTGTTTGTACCATCTCTTCATTCTTTTTAATCTTTGCTGGTTAATCATTGCCATGATATTTTCATCCCTCCTAAAACCTTATTGTATCCTGAAGTCATTACTTCTGTGATGCAGGCCTGATGCATCTGGTTTACTCCAAATAGTATACTTCTGCTATGTGAATCTCAGGTTTGCGCTTCAGCTGAGAACAGTTAGTAAGCTCCATGTCCATTCTGGGCAGTGCCTATGTTACCTGCTTCCGTCTCCTCCTCTGAGCTTAGAGGACATAAGTGGACACAACACAGAATGCTATATCTTCCACTGTCAGTTTGGTCATGTTTTAGAACACGCTTCCACTTAATGTCGGTTATATAAACCTCTCAGAAGGACCGGATGGCTGTTCAGAACTCATTTGAAGAAGTCAGGACTCACATTCAGCTTGTTGAGTGCCTTATGGGCTTGTGTCCACTGAGATCACAGAGTCTGCCTCGTGGTGAACATAGATGCCTAGTGTAATGTGTAAATGGTGTGAGCAAAAGGCAACTTTTGATTCTTTCTATCATCCCTTCCTTAGCCGTGCAAAGACGTGGTCCTCTTCAGTATTTTGGATCTGCGGGGTTCTCACTCATTATGTTACTGTGTGTATTTCAGCAGTTTTCCATAGTTCTGTAACTTAGGTCATTTTACTTCAGTGAAGCGTTTGGGCAGAGGTTCTACCTCCTCATTTGACTCTAACGTGCATTTGCCTCTAGGTTGTCACCAAGAAGGCAGAAGGCTGTCACTTCTAGGTTGTCATCAGGAAGGCTGGCAAAAACATAAACACTGCAGTAATTGGTCTCGTCCTCGAGAGATGACATTAGCAGTACATTAGAGTCATGAGAGGGTCATGCATGTAACCTAGAGCACAGCATTAGATCTCCCCAAGGGCAGAACAAAAGCAAAGGAAAACAATCACATTCATGTGCGTCAGAGAACTGAAGTCTGAAGTCACTCCACAGTTCCCCAGACTATTAGAGTGGACCAGACTGTCGTCAGACCGTCACAGTGACATAAGTGGATGTGCCTAGCTGGAGTAAGGCAAAGATGGCAGGGTCAGACGAAGGAAAGCGCAGGCACAGATGAGAGCAGAGTGGTGGGGACAGGATTGCTTCCCTGAGAAGCTGCCTGTGAGGGACACAACGGCCATTTTCCTTTCTTTCCAGCTTCACAGTATGGATATGCATCAGTGAAATCCTTCTTCTGCAGAATCTGGTAAGTAAAGGGTATGGAGGCTCAAAATGTGGCTCTCAAGTTTCTGCTCAACACTTATGGTGATGCTTTTGCATTCAGCTAGATTCTGCTATAGATACAACAAAATGAGACAGAACAAATAAACAAAAAAACGCTTGATTCTTACATAAGAATTTGTATGTGACTGGGCAGTGGTGGCACACGCCTTTAATCCCAGCACTCGGGAGACAGAAGAAGGCAGATTCCTGAGTTGAAGGCCAGCCTGGTCTACAGAGTGAGTTCTAGGACAGCTAGGGCCGTTACATAGAGAAACCCTGTCTCAAAAAACAAACTAATAAAAAATTTGTATGTGATTGAGAAGAAAAAATAAAAAGACTGAAAGATAATTGCTAGCCCTGTATATCATCAGAGCCCTTGGTTTGAAGTTAACAATAAAACTGTGTTTTGAGCCAGGCAGTAGTAGCACACACCTTCGTCCCAGCGCTCGGGAGGCAGAGGCAAGTGGGTCTCTGTGTGTTTGAGGCTAGCCTGGTCTACAAGAACTAGTTGCAGGACAGGCTCCAAAGCTACAGAGAAACTCTGTCTCGAAAAAAAAAAAAAAACCCGTGTTTTGAGCCCCATTTATTTGCTTTTTGTTTTTCAGTCACATTTAAAATTAATTTTTAAAATTTCCCCACACCTATCTCTTAGTTTTTATAATTTTTAATAGCAGGCCTTAAAAAGAGAGAGAGATGTAGAAGAAAATTGACCACACTTTAACAGAAGTGACTCTTGTAGACAGGTGTCACTCTCTGAACAAATTACTATAATGTTACTTTCAGAGTAAAATGAAAAACTTTTTAATTTATTATTATTATTGAGACAGAGTTTCTCTGTGTAGCCCTGGCTGTACTGGAACTCACTCTTTAGACTAGGCTGGCCTCAAACTTACGGAGATCTACCTATCTCTGTCCTTTGAATGTTAGAATTAAAGACGTGCACTACCAGACTCAACAAGAAAAAACGTTTTTAAGTGTCACAGTTGCTAACAGCAGGATTTACGTTAGTAACTACTCCAGATGTTTAGAGAAGAAAAAGATATTTATAATGGAAATAACCAGATACTCTGTAAAACTGGGAGGGTTTGAGCTAATAGTGTTTGTGGGCCTACGCAGGAGGGATAATCCCACCGACAGTCAACAGGTAGGAGGGCTGGTATGGTTTACTGTTTCCTTCACAAGTGCTTTTATCAGAAACAGGCCTGAAATACAGTAAACGTGGGGGCATCTCTACAGGTGTCAGATAGGCAAGCCAACCCAGGAAGAGATAAGAATGAAAAGCTGGTACAGATTGACTTTGTCAGCCTGGATCAGACTTCACAGAGTCTAATGACAGGAGGTTTATTCCCTGTGTATTTAAGCCCTGTACAACTTGGAGAAGAAAAAAAAAAACTTCCTTGGGTAATACAATCCCTGGTGCACAGAGAAGCATAATTACATTAAAAACTCAACTCCGGGTATTGTCATTCCCTCCAAGCAGATGGATCTAGAGATATGCTGCCTGTGCTAGCTTAGGGGCCTAAGGGTCTGGAGTCATAGAGATAGGGCAGAGGTCATCTGGCTAGTTAGTTACCTCTGGTCCTGGTTGTAGGAGCCTGGGGGAGCCCCTGGCTATCAGAGCCATTTTGATTACTAACCACACCCAGTACTGGTTGTAGGAGCTTGTATGGCCTAACCCAACAGATGACACGGATCACCAGGCTGTTAATCTCTTCCAGTTCCCAGTTTTGATAGAAGGACAGGTTTTTCATCTTTACCACTGGAAAGACAAAATCCTGTGTGCTTAACATTCCTGGTTTCTCTAGAGATCTGTGACCACAAGGACCTTCATGCTATGCTCCCAGCATAAGTGACATACAGGTTTAAATTACACTAAATACTTGTAGGTCCTATCTGAATCAGACTGTTTAAAGCAAATTTTTTTGTCCCCATTTGTTTAAATACTGTAAGCAGGAAACCAATAATGTATAAATACAAATGTGTCCACTAGCAACAAATTCTAGACAAGAGAACGAGTTCTCTTGTGAAGACAATGGAGAAATTGCTGTTTTATTCAGACATTTTGTCTGTTTTCTGTTGTAACAGAAACCCTAAGAGTGCTAGTTTGTAAAGGAGAAGGGTTTGGGCTTGCAGTTCTGGTGTCAGAGAGCATGAAGCCAGTGTCTTCTTGGCATTGGGCAAGGGCTTCATGATGGAGGGCAAACTGGCATGGGCAAAAAGGCAAAAGGAGCCAGACACCATAACAACCAGCTCTCACTAAAGTTAGCCCACTCTGACAGACTCTGCATTGATCCCCTCATAATGGCGGTGCTCCCATGACCTCTTAGAGCTCCACATTGCTCTCACTGCCCTTGCACTGGTTGGGGACTTTGGATATGTACTTTGGTGGTGGCGATGATGGGACCCTTTTCTGAGCAATCCCAGTTGCAGCCAGTGCCCTAAAGAAGGTGAGCGAGTAAGCCAGGCAGCCTTAAGGAAGTTCCTGAGGAAACATGGTCCATGTGGAAGGAACAGATGTGCAAAGGCCCTGGGGTGGAACACACCTGAGTGTGGAAAGGTTAATGGAGAACCTGGCTGGAACAGAAGGGAAGAGAGGAGGGTAGATGGAAAGTCAAGGCCTAGTGTAAGAGTCTGCACTTCCCAATGGATACCCATGCCCGACCCAGGCTGCGCGCTTCCTGAACTCGGGCCCACGAGAAGGGACGATTGTCCTGAGGGTTGAAAAAGAGACACAGACAAAAAAGACTTGGCTCATCTACAAGAGTAAATGGCAACTTTATTAAACTCAAGACAGGTATTTATACCAGTGGGCTAGAAAGACCGAAAATGCAAGGCCTCCTCCCAACCAGAAGCAGGAGGAGAAGATTAAAGCTTCCCCGCCCCTTGGGCAGGGTCAGCTAGGGGAGGCAGGCTATCGGCCCACTGCTAAAACCTTGAATACAAGTGGAATCACCATAACAAAGAGAACCAGGTTCTAGTTAGGTTATCCCCTCAAGCCAGAGCTAGTGTAGTCTCCAGGAAGTCGGAGGTCACACGGCCCTGCAAATCACCAGGAGAGAAGGGAAGAAACTTTGGTAGCCACAGCCTAGATCACAGGGAATTTCACACTCAGAAGGAAGTATTTGGTTGAGATTAATTGCTTTCAAAACCTTTTCCTTAGGAATTTCTAACCTAACAAGCCGAGAAAATAGTATAATGAGCCAGTATGTTCTGATTACCCAACTCTAAGCCATGGCCAGCCTGGTGCCACCTGTTCTTCCACCAGTTCTTCCCCTCTGCTCTCTTATCTCAGAACTCAGACATTTCCTCCATTAGTATTTCAGAATGTATTTCTAAAAAGCAAAGTTACCATTCACCTTATGATGATAAAACCGTCCTGGTCTTAGACTAGTTAGGATCGATGCCCCGCCCTTATAGCGGTATCCACATGGTCTTTGACAGCCTCCTTTGCCTTTAGTCATGTGACATCCCAGACTGAGTCGTGCTTTCTCCAGGTGTTCCCTGTTGCAAGTGGAGGGAAATGACATTACCATTGAGACCCCATCAGGATGAGGGTCAGTCCTTACTCTGGGGCTGCAGTATTTGTGTACAGTGCTAAGAGGTTTCATTTATCATTTAAATTAGAAAGGACTGTGTGGGCTGCTATGTGAAGGACCAGGTCAGCTGTAGCACTGGAAGGCTTGGGTTGTTGTAAAGTCAGGCTAGTGAGGTGGTAGAAGAAAAAATTTGGTTACTTTGCCATGACTTATTGACTGAGGTTTCTGTCCTGCCTGGTCTTGCAGCCATTCAGCCCCAAAGAAATACAGAGGTCTACATTAATTATAGACTGATTGGCCTGGTAGCTCGGGCTTATTAACTCATAACTATTAGCCCATAATTCTTGTCTGTGTTAGCCACGTGGCTTGGTACCTTTTTTGGCGAGACAGTCGCATCTTGCTTGCTCTGTGTCTGGCTTCCTCTCTGTCTTGGTGCCGACTGCAGACTGAACCTTTCCTCTTCCCAGAATTCTCCTGTTCTCACCCCACATATACTTCCTGCCTGGCTACTGGCCAATCAGCGTTTATTTAAAATACAATTGACAGGGTACAGACCATTGTCCCACACCAAGGACTTAAGGGTTATAATTGGAACATGATATAAAAAGGAATGAGGGATTGGTGATAGGAATCTTGGGTGGAGATATCTGAGGCCCAGGAGCATGGAGCAAAAGCACCTTCCTGGAGAGGAGCTGTGTCTGGGTTAATCTGGGTTTACATTGAGACTGTATGAAAACATAGTTCTAGGTAGAGGTGCAGGCCTGCAGGTAATGTGTAGTGCAAGTGTATATAAGTGACGTTTAGAACCCTTGGTATGGACAAGGCTGAAGAAGTTCTTTATAGAGAGAAGCTGGACAAATGGAGCATGAGCTCCGTGTAGTTGGGAGAAGGCTGTCATCCGCATGACTAAAGTAGGAAACAGGGTCATAGTGAGGATAGCCAGTACACTGGGACTGGCTCTGGCAGCTCTGAGACTGCCTTGGGATTGAAGTCACTAATCTAGATTGAGTTAGAAGAGAGTCTTAATTGCAGACAAAGAAGAGTGGCTCGTTCTTGGACAGTTAGACTCTACAGCATGTGACATGTCCCAGAGAAAGCTTTGTGCACGTCCTCAGAGCTTCCTCAGTGAGACTGAGAAGGGGTCTGTCTCTATTCCAGAGGCCGGGTTAGGCAGCAAGGTTTTAATGTGCTTTCCCCAGCCAGGCATTTTGCAAAACACTGCTGACCTTCAAGCCAAGCCTGCAGCAACCAAGAAAGTAGCTGGAGCTTGGGTCAGTTCTTTAACAACAGAAGAGGGGTGTGCTAGATTTGGGTTTAGCCATGTGATCAGACATGGGGCCCCATTTTCTCTTTGTAGTGCTTGGTATGCCTCACAGTGAAAGGGTAAGTCACTGGGAGTTTGGGACATGATTGTGAACAGGTCATGGGTGGGGTGACTCTCACAGTGATGTGAGCAGTCCTCCATAAAACTTCTTAGGCAGGGTCTGGAGAGATGGCTCAGAGGTTAAGAGCATTGCCTGCTCTTCCAAAGGTCCTGAGTTCAATTCCCAACAACTACATGGTGGCTCACAACCCTCTGTAATGGGGTCTGGTGCCCTCTTCTGACCAGAATATTGTATACATAATAAATAGATAAATTTTTAAAAAAAAAAAAAAAAAAACTTCTTCCCAGCAGCTTGAGCCGTGACTCAGCGGCTCGGAGCGCCTAACGCTCTGCCCTAGTGCCAGGGGACGCGGGTTTGAATCCTACCTGGTGATATCGATAATGATAATCGATCATTCGATAGGTTGTTATCGATCGATAAATCGGAAAAAAAAAAACTTCTTAGGCAGTGCATAGTGGATGATTGTTATTGCCCAGAGGTACTAAGATTTCAAGCTAACCTTCCCTTTGGGGAAACAAACATCTTTAAATGTTTTAGATTGGGTCTTTCTGTGTTGGGAATTCCCAGTGGAGCATCCCCAGCCTTTTCACAGTGGGCTGAGTGCACCAGTATCAGCTCTAATCACTTTGATCTCTTCAGTGGAGGTGGAGACAGAGCACAGAAGAAGCATTACTCTCCGTTCTGGATCCTCCCCTATTTGGTTCACGTACATAGCTCTGCCCAGCCAGAACCAGAGCCTTGCTGTCTAGCACTGGCTGAGAAGATTCACTCTGGTTATGAAGGTAAGCCAGGATGTGTTGTGCTCAGTGAGAGGCAGAACACAGTGTTCAAACAGGAGCGTGGGGATATCTGTTCCTATAGTTTCAGGGCAGAAGGCTGCTTCATGTCCAGTGTGGACCATAAACTCACTTCTAGCTGGTGTTTGCTGACCTTGACTTCCTGTGCTGTTATCACTGCCACAGTGTGACTTCACACGTTGGACTTGGATAGATATTAGTTACTTTAGTCCCTTCTCTTTTGGTGACCTGTTCTATGGCCTTTTATAAGAATCTGTCCTATATGAAATACTAGCACTAAAATCATTACGTGAAGAAGCCACAAGAATGATTGCATTTGCTAGATAGCACATGCCTTGAGGTACCAAGGCATGAATGCCCTGGGTTACATAATAAGTTCAAGGCTAGCTTGGGCTACATAGTGATTCCCTGCCTCAGCAAACCAAAAACTGGAGGTGTAGCACAGTGGTAGAGTGCTTGTCATGCTGTGGAACTACAAGGCCCTGGGTTTGATTCTCAACACTTGGTGGAGGGGGAAGCAACATGTTCTTTTGGGGGCGGGGGTTCGAGACAGGGTTTCTCTGTGTAGCTTTGGTGCCTGTTCCGGAATTAGCTGTTGTAGACCAGGCTGGCCTCAAACACACAGAAATCCGCCTGCCTCTGCCTCCCAAGTCCTGGGACTAAAGTTGTGCACCACCACCACCCGGTTGAAACAACATGTTCTACAAGTGTTTAGAAACTTTCAGAAATTGCAGTATGTATATTCAATAAACAAGAATACATTTCTAAACTTGTGTATAGGCAACTTCCATTTACTACCTAAAATCATAGTTGGCTCTGAGAGACATGATGTATGTTTTCCTACCAATTACCACCCTATAAGTCACAATAAAAACATAGGGCTATTGGAAAAATTAGTTTGGGGGCACAAAGATAAAAAATTAATTACAAGTCAGGCGATGGTGGCACACATCTTTAATCCCAGCACTCAGGAGGCAGAGTCAGTAGATCTCTGTAAGTTTGAGGCCAGCCTGGTCTATAAGAGCTGGTTCCAGGACAGGCTCCAAAGCTACAGAAAAACCCTGTCTCAAAAAAAAAAAAAAAAAGATAAAGGACCTAAAGAAATATCTCAGCAGAGTCCTGACTGCACTTCAGTAAGTCCTGGTTCAGTTCTCAGCACCCAAATAGTGGCTCGCAGCTGCCTGTAACTCCAGTCTAGGGGATTTTACTCCCTCGTCTGACCTGATCCTGCACATACATGTAGACCAAACATGTACGCACACAAATTTTCTTTTTTTGAAAGGAAATAATAAAACCATTGGTTTATATGTTAAACAATAACAACAGCACTCCTATAACTGCCACAGTTGAAATGTATGTGTGATGTATGTATTCATGAGTAGCTCCAAACACTGGGTGCCTTTTTGTGCATTCACTTAGGGTTTCTTGCAGTTGGCATCATGCTGAAGTAACTGATGTAAGCCTACTCTCAAGAGTGTGGGCTGCATTTTTCAGTGCACATTTTAGATCAGAACTTGCCTGACTTGATGGTACCAATTTTATTCTATAACAAAATGCTTTAGTGCTATTACAAGTGTTTTCAATTAGTTATACACTGCACCAAAGAATATTCAGCCCTTCCCTTATTCCCACTTTACCTATTAGATAGTTATGATGAAGAAATAAGCTATTTAGAATGCAGCAGGCTTTCTTTATTTAAATTAACCATAATATAGTCATTACATATTGACCTCTTTAAAGTCAAGTTAATAATGGAAACTATCATTATTTTACTGTGGCTTTGACTTCATGGCAGTCAGACATTAGATTTAAGTTAGATTTCTGCCATTTTATTTTGAGATTTTATCCCTTGTATGTTTAGTAGTAGATGATTAATTGCATATTTGACCCTTAATCAGCCTTTCTCCTTTTTTAATAGCTCCTCGAATCCCTGTAGATAAAAGAATTTTTACCACAACACACACCCCAGGATGTGTATTTCTTGAAGTAGATGAAAGGTAAATATTTCTTTGAACCTAAAAGAAATTTGTTTTGGAAGACAAACCAAGGTACTAGAGGTCTATGTTATGCTTTGTGTACTGTTCTGTATTCTGTGACAGTTGGTGTGCCTGCATGGCTCCTGCTGGTTACAGTGCAGCTTAAACTGAGTCTTCTTAAATATATTTTTCAAATCACATTTATTTATTGGTGTGTGTGGGTGTGTGGGTGTGTGCGAGCGTGCGTGCACGCACGCATGCACACGCATGCTTGTCATGTACATGTAGGGTCAGAGGACACCTTTCTGGTGTTGAGTCTCACCTTCCACTGTTTGGGTCTCAGGGATGCATCTCAGGCCAGCGGGCTTGGGGGCAAGTACCTGTACCTGTTTTCTGAATTTTAGTGTAAACATCTTGCATACTGTATTTTTTAAAGTGATTTATGTGATACCTTCCTAGATCTCATAACATTAAGGCATAAGTGGTGCAGGTGTTATTACTCTTATTTTACATAAATCAAGAATTAGTTCACCAAGAATATCTGACTATACTTAACTTAGGACCAAGACTTAAATCCTTTAGCATTTACTCTAGTGATATTTCCATTTGACAAATGTGCTCAAATCAGTTGTGCTAGTCTGAAGAGAGAGAGAAAAAAGGGGACATACGTTTTTAATAAAGGATAAGTTTTAAGAATTTTTCTCTATTTTGAACTTACATTTCTTTTTAGGGCAATTTTAAAATGATTTTGTTATTTTTTTAACATAGTGATAGATGATGCTTATTGCTGTTTTTCAGTATTTTTTAGAAAAAAATATTTACTTTATGTGTAACAGGTGTTTTGCCTGCATGTATGTCTGTACCACGTGTGGAAACACCTCTAAGGAGGACAGAAGACAGCTTCAGATCCCCTGGAACTGGAGTTACAGATGGTCGTGAGCCACCATCTGGGTTCTGAGAATCGAACTCAGGTCCTCGGGAAGATCAGTCAGTGCTCTTAACTGCTGAGCGTCTTTCCAGCTCCTGGTTTTTTGTATTTTTGTTTGAATAAAACAAATGTTGGCCGGGCGGTGGTGGTGCATATCTCTAATCCCAGCACACAGAAGGCAGAGGCAGGGGGATCTCTGTGAGTTCAAGGCCAGCCTGGCCTACAAAGTGAGTTCTAAGACAGCCAGGGCTACACAGAAAAACATTATCTCGAAAAACCAAATAAACAAATGTTGATATCAACTAGTATATGCAGCTCCACATATACACATTTATTTCAGAATTTTACTTATTCTTGAAATTTGAAAATCTGGGAAATATGCATTAGTGTAAAACAAAGCACAGAAAATGTTTACAGAGCCTGTTTTGTCTAAGCCATCCTTCCAAGGCCACTTAATCCTGAAAACATTTCTGTGAGTATCGGTTGGGATGATAGTTGCCTTTGGATACTATATTTGATTTGGCCACTACATTGTATTCAGTCAGTATTAACCATGTGTTTGTTCATCAGTCTTTGTTACTGTAGTGAAATACAGGAAATGGCTAACTTGTAAGGAGGAAAGAAAGGTTTAATCCCTGCTCAGTTTCAGGCCATGGTCACTCAGCTGGCTCCATGACTTTGAAACCTCTGGTGGGGCAGGACATCATAGTGGGAGCACACAGTGAAGTTAATCTGCCTTCTTCCTGGGACCAGGAAGTAAAGGGAGACAGAACAGGAACCTAAATGAATGTTGCTTGCTGGCTCACTCCCTGACTCACCCACTGCCTTTTCCTAACTTTCTTACCTAGCCTGGGACCACCTGCCCGGAAATGGTGCCCACTGTACACAGGGCCCTCTTACATTCAGACAGTTGAGGCAGTCCCTCACAAACATGTCCACAGACTAATATGATGACAGTTATTCAGTTGAGACTTCCATCAGGCAATTCTAAGCTGTTCAGGTTGACAGTTAATGCCAATTCAGACAAAGGCCTGAGGGCGCACCCCAGTACCCCAACTTCTTTCCACTAGGCTTTGCCTTCTGAAGGCTTCACCACACTGTACTAATGCTGTGTAAGTTTACAGCCCATTTTATCTTTAGCATCCTGTTACATGTGCTCTTTCTAAACAACAGTGTAACAAAGAGTGCAAGGCTCGTGAGGAACTTGATAAAAATTCATGTCCATGGGTTATCTCCAGAGTGTGTAAGGCATGAGATCACAGTGAGCCCACAAGCCTGATCTTAGGGATTGAGGTGATTTTGATGCAATGTATCAGATGACTACTGACGTAGTTAGCTTATATCTGTTTCCCATAGTGCAGGCGGGCACTTAGGTTTTTTTACTTTTATGGGTGCATTAATGGACATCTTTTCCTAAATGTCCTTCCTATTTAGAATTAAATAGGGAAGCTAGGGTTTGGTGGTGATGTTTTATTTTGCAGAGCAGGAGATGCTCTTCTGAGCTGATCCTTCTGTATGCTAAGCACATAGCCTCTCACTGAGTTGTGTTGCCAGCCTGAGTGGCTATTTTTAAGTATATAAAAGCTACTTAATTACTTGCTCAGTATAACATGTTTCCTGTGCTGTGTACCTGTACCCCAGGGCTGTGCCTTTGCTGGGTTACCTACCTCAGGATCTGATTGGAACGTCGATCTTAACATATGTGCACCCAGAAGATCGGCCTCTGATGGTTGCCATACACCAAAAAGGTGGGGCCTGCTCCTTTATGGACGTTGTTATTTGCCACTAATTGATTCTGATTTTTCAGTTCATTTCTCACTAGAGTTTCACCTTTACCCAAATAAGAAATGTATTGAACTGCTAAAGTAATTGTTTCCTCCTTTAAAGTGATAACTGAAGCAGTACACTTGCAATCTTATCTGTGTAAAGTTTGGTTTTAATCTTGTTGCTTTACATAGTTTTAAAGTATGTTGGCCATCCTCCATTTGAACACTCGCCCATCAGATTCTGCACTCAGAATGGAGATTATGTCATTCTGGATTCCAGCTGGTCCAGTTTTGTGAACCCCTGGAGCCGGAAGGTTTCCTTCATCATTGGTCAGCATAAAGTTCGAACGTAAGTTCATCAGTTGGTGCTGTGGGGTACAGAGGTGAGGGGGCAAATGTCACCTGTCATGAAAGACAGACATGATTGAGTAAATCATGAAAAATTAGCACTCTGATTTTTCTAATAATGATTTTAGTCTTGGGTGGTGTCTCAGCTCTTAGGTCACGGTAGCTGTACTGTAGGTCTGTGACTCCAGGTCCAGGGAGCCAGTGTCCTCTTCTGGCCTTCACAGGCACCAGGCATGCACATGGTACACAGGCATACACTCAGGCAAAACACCATACACATAAAAAATTAAATTAAAGTTTTTTAAAGATTTAATTTTGTAAGTACGAGTGTTTTGCTTGCATGTAAGTAAGTATACTGAGTACGCACCTGGGTCCGTGGAGACAACAAGAGGACACTGGGTCCTCTGGGACTGGAGTTACAGGCTGTTGTAAGCGGCTGTTGTAAGTGGCTTCGTGAGAGCCAGGAACCAAACCCAGGTCCTCTTTAAAGCAGAAAGTGTTCCTAACCATGGAGCCATCTCTTTGGCCTCTGACTTGGCTGTTTCTTGGTTAGTTCTTCCATCCAGCCTGGGCTGGGCAAACATTATACCACAGGGATACATCACCCAGCCTCACACTAAATGTCAGGGATAATGCCTACGTCCTAAGACTTCATGAGGTGATATATCTGACTCAGTATTCCTCATTGGTACCCACTCTACCGAGGACCCAAGAGATAGTTTCCTGTCATGATGAATGTGTGAGCCTTGGTACCTAAACTGGTCCCTTGCTTTATCTCTCATCTCCCCTTAATAACTTGGGGCCCTTGAGAAGGTGGACATCCCATTGTAGGACGGCACTTGTAAAGCACTTGAACAATGACAACCACTCTCTAACAGCGGCTCTCAGCCTTCCTAATGATACAGCTCCTCATGTTGTGGGGACCCCAGCCATAGAATTATTTTATTGTTACTTCATAGCTGTAATTTTTCCACTGTTATAAATCATAATTATTATTATTTTTTTTTTTTGGAGACAGGGGTTTGCCAAAGGGGTTGTAGCAGCCCTCAGGTTGAGAACTGCTGCTTTATGGCTTCTGAAGATGTTATTTTCATTTTCTTAGAAACTAGCATAGTTTTTAGGAGGAGGTCTTAATAAATGTCAGTTTCCTCTCTTTATCATCTTTGTTGGTATTCATTATATTCAGGTAGTTTTTATTTCATTTTTTAATTTATCGTGTAAGATGGGGGAACATGTAACACGACACACACATGTGGAGCTCAGAGAACATCTTGTGTGGGTATTGCCTTTCACCAGGGGCTCTGAGATCCACCTCCAGACATCAGGCTTACACAACAAACGATTTTACCCATTGAACCATCTCAGTGGAAGATTTTATTTGTTAATTACATTTTTAAAAAAGAAAGCAAACTATCTCTTTTCGTTTTACATACCAATCGCAGTTCCCACTCCCTCCCCTCCTCCTATCCCCTCTACCTACTCCCCCACCTAACTCCCCATCCACTCCTCAGAGAGGGTAAGGAGCATTGCTTTGAGGAAGGTCCAAGGCCCTCGCTGCTATATCTAGGCTGAGCACAGTATCCATCCAAGGAAAATAGATTCCCAAAAAAGCCAGTACAAGCAGCAAGAACAAATCCTGGTGCAACTGCCAGTGACTCCACAGTCTGCCCCAGCTATACAGCTGTCACCCACATTCAGAGGGTCTAGTTTAGCCCTGTGTTGGTTTCCTCCCTGTCCAGATGGAATTGGTGAACTCCCATTAGCTCAGATTTTAAATCCTCCAAAGTTTATAAAAGAGATGGGAGGTAGGAGTGTGACAGCCTCATATTCACCGCTGGGGCGGGATGGCTGTATAGCATCTTTATCAGGTAGCATAAGTGATTAGTAGCTATTTATTTATTTATGGTATTTTGAGCCAAGCTCTCACCATGTAGCTCTGGCTGTCCTGAAACTTACTATGTAGACCAGGCTGGCCTCACAGAGATCCTCCTGCCTCTGCCTCCCAAGTCCTGGGATCAAAGGCATGTGCTACCATGCCCAACTAAGTTTGTTAAAGTTTATTTTTACTATTTTTTTTAACTATGTGTAGATTAGGTGTATATGCCTGCTTGTGGGTATGTGCAGATGCCAAAGGTTGTCATGGGTGGTAGGAACCAAACTCCAATTCTCTGGAAGAGTAACAGGTTCTCTTAACCACTGAGCCATCTCCAGCCCAGCTTTAAGTATGTAAGCTTGGCAACTTCAGGGTCTTAACGTTTCTACAGAGGAGTCACTCAGTCAGATTTTGAAACCAGTCCTTACTGAATATCTTAGGAGCAAAAGAAGTAACTTATCACTGGTTTTACACACACACACACACACACACACACACACACACACACACACAGCCCTGAACCTGTTACATAAAGATGAGTGCTGTAGAGAAACTTAACTTAAACTGTGCAGGTGTGTGCTTGTATCCCCAGTTCTCAGGAGGTAGAACTAGCCTGGGCTAATTGTAGCAAGATTTTGACTCAAAAAACAAGGGCTGAGATGTAATTTATGGTGGATTGTTTTCTTAGCTTGTTTAAGGTCCTGTGTTTTGTTCCCAGGACCAGGTGGATTAGGGTTATTATGTCTATTTTGTTTCTTTGGGAATTTTAACTCCTTATTTTCTGAATCTAGAGTTAAAGAGTTGGTTCATCAGAGCATAGCTGATTCTTTAAATAGTCTGTTGCAAGCACTTTAGTCTTCATTTTAGATGAATTATGATTGCTTGGTTCATTATTTCTCTTGGCATTTTATAGGAGCCCATTAAATGAGGATGTTTTTGCTACCAGAATAAAAAAGGCACCTAATAACGATAAAGACATAGCAGAATTGCAAGAACAGATTCACAAACTTCTTCTGCAGGTAAAGTGAGAGATTTTAAAAAAGCACACGATTCCCGAGATTGTGTTTTTGTTAGTTTGGTCTCAGTGAAGTCAGACCACAAGAACACACTGAGGAGAGAGGAACCTTTACCTCCACATCTTAGAAATGTTTGCTCTTCTCTTTGCTTCTATGGATTAAGTTCTGTTTTATTTGGGTCCTTGTTCTGAGTGAGATGCACAGGACATTTTTGGTTGCACCCGCTTCAGCACAGCAGACTGGGCCACAGTGTCAGGGAAGACCCTTGCTTTCTTCATGAGAAACTCTTCTCTTGCTTCAGACACCAGCAGTGTGCTCAGCTCCTGAGCTTGAAAGTCAGTGTTTTTTAAAATAATTCCGTTTTTAAAAGTAGAAGAGCAAGGTGGTTGGTCTCAGTATTTCTTGTCATTATAAAGGAAGAAGAGGAAAATTACTTGTTGGAAAGAACAATGGAAGATGGTTCCTGATAGTAAATAAAGTTGAGTGTGTCCATGTTGAGTGTGAGCCCAGAGCTTTTCAGAAATGTTTTTTATAAAATCTCAGGTTCATGAAGTCTCTGAAATTTTTTAAAAATCTATGTTTTTATTTTATGTGTTCTGTCTACTCTAAATTGAGCATAAGAAACTTAAATTTGTTTTATTTTATAAAATTATTTATGATTTACAAAAGGTAGTTTCCTTATGGCACCTAGAAGGACATATTGCTGCAGTCTCTATGTAGACTAAAAAGTTGGGCCTGCCCTGAGCGTAGGAAGGCGCTGAAGTGTCTCACACCAGCGTCCAGGCTGACAGCTCCATCCCTA